CGCTGCAGGCTGAGTGACAGGGGCTGGGCCCAAAAGGCACACACTGTGGGATTCTCTTTCTGTAAAACGCCAGAGCAGGCAAAACTAAACTAGAGTAAACAAAACAGAGAACAGAACAGTGACTGCAAAGGGGCGTGAGGGAGGGGTCAGCAGTCCACCTCCCGATAGGCTTCAGGGACACATGTCAGCTGGATGGTAACTTTGGACGTGCGTGTTTCACACGCGCTCATCGTGGAAATGCTCCCCGAGAAACAAACGCCGGGCTCCATTCATGAGACACACATGCCGGGTGTAGGGGTGGAGCGGGAGGGCTGGAGAAATCAGGGACAGGATAAACAGGGCGAGAGGTTGACTGTAGTGCACAGCGTGCACTCTACGTATTTTTCTACACGTTTGAATATTTTCATAATAAAATGGGTGGGATCCCCAAGGAGAATGTCCGTTTTCCACGACCTGTGCCTAATCCCAGGTGCCCAGCTCCCAGTGCTGGTTTCTCATCACGTTCATCACACTAGACCCCATTGTTTCTGTAACAGACGCTCTGCCCTCTCCCAGGTGCGGGCGTTACCCTTTTAGATGTCGCATAAAATGGCTCAGGTCTGCAGGCCACGTACTGTGGAAATCCAGCACGTCTTCTCATTTGCCTCGTGGTTCTGTGAGAGGGCATGTCATAGGCTAGTCTCCTGGGCACTGGGAGTGTCACGGCTCTGGTGCAGAGACACATTTGGCTCCCCAGTGGGTGCTGAGTGTGCAAACACACACTCGACTGTGGTGCTGCTTCTCGAGCAGGACCGCTGCCCTTCTTGCCTGCGTCCGAGCGTCAGTCCCCATCTGGAGACATCCTGGGCCCTACACACAGGGCTGTGTGAGGGGCTAGACCATCCAGGATAGCTTCCCTTACGGCCTGGTGTCCCCAGGGCCAGCCGGAAATGGGCTCCGGGCGCCAGGATGGCGGGGCGTCTCTGCAGGGCAGTGCAGGGTTTCACAACAGTGAAGAGCTCCTGGCTGGGGCCAGGAATGGGCAGCCTCACTCCTGGGGAAACAGGCTGGCCGGGACTGCAGGAGGGCAGGGGCGAGTCAGCAGTGCCATGGGCCTGGGTCATTCTCTCTGGGGACCCTGGGCACCCCTGGGCAGTCAGGCTTCCCCAAGCAGGACCCAGGCCTAACTTGCCCTACATTCAGAGAGAAATGGGAGCAAGAGAGGCTCAGGGTCCTCCTCCTTCCACCCAAAGTGCTGCTGTTCTCGCTGGCCTTGCGGCAGCAGTCCCAGCAGCTTAATGTCCCTGCTTGGGCTCCAGTTCCTTAAAGGAAAAACACCCCTCAAATCCGGTAAAGGTTGTTTTCCGAAGCTGAGCCTCAGGACCAGAGAGGGTGTGACCTGGGCGGAGAGCGAGGCTGCCCAGCCCAGAGTAGCCCCGGCCCCGGGTTCCGGTCCCGAGGCCAGGCCTGGCCGCCCCTCCTGCGCCTGGCGTGCGGGCCACCATGTCCGAGTCTCGCGGAGACCTGAGGGTGGCCAGACTCAGCTTGGACCTGGGTGGGGTGCGGGGGTGGTCGTGGCGTCTCCCGTGCTGGAGGGGACGTGGAGGGGCGGTACTCAGGCTGGAGGGGGCCAGGGGAGGCCCCCCAGATCAGGGGTGTGTGGGGGGGCGGTCCCCAGGCTGGAGAGGGCGTGGGGGGCGGTTTCCATGCTGGAGGAGCGGGAGGTGGCTCAGCGCTGGAGGGGCATGGTGGGGCAGTGCCCTGGCTGAAGGGGTCGTGGGAGAGGCTCCTAGGTCAGAAGTGTGCATGTGGGCGGTGCCCATGCTGAGGGGGCGAGGGGAGGCTCCCAGGTCAGGAGTTGGGGGCGGTGCCCAAGCTGAAATGGGGCGGAACCGGGTGGGAGCGTCGGGGAGGAAGCACAGCGGGACCGCGGGAAGCTGGGGGGTACCGCCCACACAACCTGCGCTTACCCTCTTCCTTGCCTGTCTCTCCAGGGGTGCGCGGGCCCCCCTTCTCTGGCCGGGACCGCCGGGACAGGTCGCCCCAACCGGATCGAGGACACTCACCCAAGAATGACTTCCCACCCCCCCACGCTGCAGGCTTTGGGGACTCCTTCCCCCCACCCTCTCCTCCTTAGACCCTAATGGACTGGGGTATCCACTGGGCAGCAGACCCCTGGGGATCAAAGGGAAATCCCAGCATCCCATCCTCCTCCAAAGGGCTGCTCCTGGATAGAGACATCCACAGACAGTTACAGTGAGAAGCATGGAGGACCCCTCTCCATGCTTCAGCTGAGACCCATGATTGACTGTGCCCTTCGTTTTGTGTCGGACCTGGTTTCCTCCCTACACTTCTATCACTGGGCTTCAGCGGCCGGGTCCTTCCCTCTTGCCATGTCAATGTCCTTCTTCCAAGGAATCCCCTGACCCTTGAGGGTCACAGAACCACCCACCCGCAGCATCTGAGACAGTGCTGCGCTTTCCATCTCAGCTCCACAGCAGCTGGCCCGTGCAGGGGTGTCTGTTCTCCCCCTGCCCAGCTTCACACCTGACACCAGTGGGACTCAGTAAATCTCGGGATTGTACACTCCTGAGTCATCCCTGACTCCCAGGTGCCTGGTCAGCAGCAGGAGTCTGGCGTGTGGCTGTTTTCACTCTTCCTTGACCAGGGGACTTCAGCCTTGGCTTCATCTGGGTCCTGTAGGCGCCTCCAAATCTGTACTCTGTACAGCCTCAGCCCCAGTTTCAGTCTCCAGGCTGTCTGCTGATCTCTCTGCTTTCACAACTGGGAAATGAAAGGGTCAGAGAAGGAGGGGAAGGAGGGCAGAGGACAAGGCATCTACGTTTGGGGAAAGCAGGAGGAAGGAGAGACAGAGACAGAGGAGGAGAAGGAGGTGGCCCACCTGTACAGGCTGCCTTTTTTCAAAAGGGGAGAGCGCTTAAGGGAGCAAGGAGGGAGCCTGCTCCAAAGGTCCAGTGCTGCCCTGTGGACCACAGCCCCACCCTCCAGGACCCTGGCTGACCCCCTGGGACCCTGGCTAGTCCAGCAGGCTCTTGGTAACAAGGATGCTCAAGGCCACCAGGACTCGTGCCAACCGGTGTGTGCTTCCCAGGGTCCCGGTCCTCTAGGTTTGTGGGGAGGACAGAGAATGGATTTGCCACCCCCGAGTAGCCTTGCTGAGGCTTTCCAGCACAAAGGCTCTCCTCAGCTCTGCTAGTGCCCACAAAGGAAGTGTAGAGTGGCTCCCTTCTGATTCCCAGAAACGAGTTAATCCTTGGAAGCAGCAAGCAAACCATGGGGGTAGCAGTGCCTCTCTCGGAGTTCCTGAGGATCAGAGGATTGAAAGCCGCTGAGAATGCCCAGGGCTGCCCAGCGATGGTGGGTGATTGTTAGTGTCGGTATGAGACTCTGAGTGAGGACGGCCCGAAATGCCTGTGCCCCAGCCCCTGGCCCCGGACGATGGGTACATGACAACATTTCCACGAGGGAAGTAGCAGGATCCCATTTAGGGGACCTGCAGAGGTGGTGGATGAATTGGCCTTTTCTCCCTCTCCCCATCACTCCAGACTCATCCCTGCCTAAGGACCTTTGCCTGGAGTGCTCTCCCTCCCCGTTTAGCTCAGTTTAGGCCCCTTCCGGTCACTTAGGCGTTCACTCCGCCCCACCCTTACCTTACTTTTCTACGCGCAGCAGGCACTATGTGAGCTGGCGCGGGGTCTTACCTATCCTCTTTACCAGCACACCTTGGCTCTCATGGTGGGGATCACTGCTGCTCAACAAGTATTTGTTGAGAGAATAAAAGAACGAGATAATAATAAAGCCTAAACAGAGTGACAGCAGTGGGGATGGAGAGGGATGGACCTCAGCAATATGCAGGAGACGACTCATTACAAGAGGACATCAAGCATCTCAGGTTTCTGGGTGAGTGGAGGGGACAATCGCTAAGCCCAGAGTCATAGAGAAAGGAGCCTTCCTGCTCCTCTCTTCTCTAGGGCACCTGATGGCGGCCAGTGCCCAGCCCCTCAGGGCCTGTAGAAGAGCAGGTGGCAGCCTCGCTGCCGTGGGGCCAGATCACTAAGGGAGCGTGGGAAGGTGGTCTGACTGCTTCCCCCTCGCCGCTCCCGGCTGGCCTTTCCGCGCTGACACCATAGCACCATAGCGCTGACACCGTGGTCGCACCCCCTGACTCGCGCGGAGACTGTGTCACTCCAGGGTCAGAACGGCCGTGGGGGCCGGCCTGGCCAGTTTGAAGAGCGCAGCGGTTGGACAGCAAGTGCGCGGCTGAGGCCTCCGGGCGAACAATGCCGCAGGGCCCCGCACCTGGCGCGGCCGCAGCGCCCGGGGGGGGGGGGGGTGGTCGGGTGAGCTCCGCCGCGCCTTCCCCGGAGCCGGCCTGCGTGCTCCGGGCTGGCTGCTGAGTCAGGCCTGCCGCGCGAGGATGCAGCGGCCGGAGGCCGGGCGCGCTCTCCCGCCTGCAACGACTGCCCTTCAGGCGGGGGCTGCAGGTCGGGGCGCGGCCGCCACGCGCGGGGGGCGGCTGCGGGGCCGGCAGCTCTGCCCTGGCCAGGCCCTGGCGGGGCGGCTCGTGCGAGGCCTGAGTGGCCGAGGGGAGCGCCTGGAGGCTCCTCTGGAGCTCTGATTCTCGAGGATCCTGGGGCAGCGAGGGACCAACGATGTGCGCGCGGCCCGGGTCTCGACCCAGACTCCCTTTCCCGGAGAGGCCTCCGGGGTAGCCGGGCCCTCAGGGCCCCTCCTGCGGGCTCCCGGGAGTCGCACGCGTGAAGACCGGGCTTGGCACACAGTGACCAGCCCTCGGGAGACGAGCGCGCAGGAGCGAGGGACGCGGGCGCGGCTATCCAGGGCGGTGCCGCCCCGCCCCAGCGCCCCCTTCCTGCGCGTCCGCGGGGCTCCGCGCCGCGCCCCGCCCCCCAGCGGCGGGCCGGTGACGTCACGGCGGCGCGCGGCATTGTGGGGCGGGAGCGCCGAGCCGGGGGAGGGACGCCGAGACGCCATTTTCGGCGGCGGGAGCGGCGGAGCAGCAGCTGAGCGGAGCAGGCGGGCGCGGGGAGGAGCCGCAGGGGACAGCGCTCGCGGGCGGCCGAGGATGCTGCGGGGCGGCCGCGCCGGGGCCCCTCGTTCGTGACCGCGGCGTCGCGTCTGAGGCAGCCGAGGCTGCGGGCCCCGCGCGGTCCTGCTCCGCGCACGCGCCCCGCGACCTCTCGGAGCTGACAGCGCGAGCGCGCGGCCCCGCGGGAGCAGCACGGTGAGTCCTCGGCCCCCTTCCCGGCCGCGCCCCGGTCCCCCGTCCTCCCGCACGGCCGCTCCCGACTGTAGTCGTCCGGCCCCCGCCCTGACTCCGTCCGCGGCGGATCTTCTTCCCCGGCCCGGCCCCGCCCGGGTCCTCCTCCGCGGTCCTCCCCCGCGACGCGGCCACTCCGAGACTTCACCCGCGGACACAGCCCCTTCCCCAACCCGGTCTGCGGCCCAGGCCCCTGCGCGTGGACGGTCCCTTCGGCGCGTCCCCGGCCCCGCACCCCGGCTCGGCCGCGCTGCGCGCGGGGCGGCGGCTCGCGGGAACAGCTGCGGACCCCCGGGCCGCGCGACTGGGGGGGTGGGTACGGCAGTGCCTGGGAGCGCGGCGCGCGGGGAGGGGCGGCCGGCCGGGTGGCTTTGTCCGAGTCCTCCCTCTTCCTTCCGGCCCCCGCCCTCTCCCGCGGCACCGCCCTGGGCGGGCGCGCCTGTCAGCTCGCGGGGACGGGCTGCCGGGCGGGCGGGGAGCGCGCGGGGTCCCTGGCGCGGGGCGGGGTCCCTGGCGCGGGGCCGGTTTCGCGAGCCTCCTCGGCGATCCCCGTCTTGCAATTGCCAGACGCGAAACGCTTCGTCCGGTGTCCACCTGGGCTGGCGTCGCTCGCACCGCTGCGCTTGCGGCAGCCGCGAAGCGGTGGCCAAGTCGGTGCGCCTCTGCCCGTGAAACCCGACAGCATCGGAAAAGTAGCCTCAGTGCCTGGGGGTCGGGGTGGTTTCCTGAAGAACGTAAGGTTTGTAGACCGGGCAGTTCCGTGATGGAGCTGTTGAAACAGCACATCGGGAATTCGTGTTCAGCGTTGGATAAGGAGTACTTGCAGAAATGTCTGTAAAAAGTGTGAGAACACGGGAAATTGCGGTACTCTGTTTACACTGGCATGTAGAAGGGCAGTTCTTTGATTCCCTGCTCTGGTTAAATTCTGAGGATTTCTGGGTATAGCGTGACTAAGCTATTGATCAGAGTCCTTAGCTCAGCGTACATGCACAAGTTGGGTGAAGACCCGATGGGAAACTGGGGCGAGGTTCTTAAGTCTCCTGATCTTGTCACAGTTCTGGATTTACCTCTTCCAGGGATTGGCAGCAAGCTTCCATTAGGGTGGGAAATGCGGTTTCATTGTTCTGTTTCCTACCTATGTGTAAGCATACAGTGATACTAAATATTAAAAAGTTCAGATTGTGGGGAGCTGCATGTGGGAGGCCAGGCCCTCCTAAGAGCCGGTTTCTCCCTCATCAGAGAATGCAACATCATGGTGCAGTGGAGCCTGGCAGCCCTGGGGTGTTAGTCAGGCGGGCGGAGGGCCGGGGGTGGTAACTTCACCGTGACCTGGCGCATTCACTCTGCCTGGAGGTGCCTTCTGGAAACACTAGACAACGCAAGAGAAGGTGGAAGGACCTGCATGGGAGTCAGGACAGAACCTACAGGAAGGATGAGGGGGAAGATGCCACTGTGGAGGGGCAGATAGTATCTTAAGTATTTTAAAATAAATAAAAGCTTAGCTTTAGATACTTAAAATTATACATTTTGCTTTTTAATTTTTAATTTTTTATTTCAAAGAGGGAGAGATCGCAAGTAGGCAGAGAGACAGGCAGAGAGAGAGGAGGAAGCACGCTCCCCGCTGAGCAGAGAGCACGATGCGCGGCTCCATCCCAGGACCCTGAGACCATGACCCGAGCCGAAGGCAGAGGCTTAACCTACTGAACAATCCAGGCGCCCCTAAAATTATGTTTTAAAAAAGTATATATTTTTAAGCATGTTTCATAATGTTGATAATAGATAAGCCAGTGTGTATATTTCCACATGGGACTATAAAAGTCAAAAATTGATTAATTTGAAGGATTTGTGTAACATGGAGACATAAATGAAATATGATAAGAAACCAGAACTTTATATGACAAGGACGTGATCAGTAATATCCCAAACAGAAGTACAGGCAGGTTTTAAGTGTCAAATTTCAGGACGTAGAATAAAAATGATTAGCCTATTTAATGGTGAAAGCATGGTCTTAAGTGGCTGTTGAGAACCAGCTGAATGGCGGGTGCTGTGCTAAGTAGTTGGGGACACAGAGATAAAAGACCCTTGCTGGCCTCTAGGAGCTCATAGTCTGGTGGGAGAAAGGAAGTGGTTGGGGACTGCAGGTGAGGTTGGCTACTGTGCTGAGTGCCCTGAGAAAGTGGTTCTGGGTATGACACACGAAGAAAAGAACAGTTGGCCAAATGTGAGGGGTGGGATTTGGTAATGGCCATCCTGGAGGACATAGGCCTTGAATTGGTGCTGGCGTATAGGGGACTGAATTTAGGAAGGGTGAGAGTGGAAAGGAAAGATCAGGGAAGGAAGGCAAGGAGGATTGGGGGATTCTTCTTTTTTTTTTTTGTAAAGGATTGGCGGATTCTTGAGCGCGGTAACAGAGCTAGTATGGCAGGTGATTTGAACCAAATGAGACTTGATGAGAAGCCGTTAGCCCCAAGTGAGGACTGAGAGCTCCTGACTTAAGGGAGGGATGATAGGAACAGTGGTACAGATGGACTAGAGAGGGCTTCATGAGTTACGGTGGCCCTGACTTGGGAGTGACCAGTCTAGAGTAAGGGCAGGGCTGCAGTCCAGAAGAGATGGAGAGGCCATGTTCACAGCCAGAGCGAGCTGCTAGATCTAAGTTGGAGTGACGTGTCACTCCTCTGCTAAGTTTTGACCGGTGTCCTAAAAGCACTCGGCCCCCATGTCTTCCCTCAGGTACGCACAGCAGGCTCATCCCGAGCCTGCTCTTCTGCGGGTCACTGGGTCCCCGCCTCCCCACGCACCCTAGCCCTTCTCACTACAATATTCCTTACCATTTTACTGTTGGTCTCTTTGACTTAACACCCATGATCTCCGCCGGGGCAGGGATTTTGTAAATGCCTAATAAATGTTTATTGAACGAATGCATCTAGAATTACTTCCCTTTCTCTAACTTGGGTGGCTCACCGGCTGGTGACACCCATCAAAATGGGGAAAACAGGAGGAGGGGGAGATGGTGAGCTTGGTTTTGGATAGATTAAGTTGGAAGTGCTTTTGGGGTGCCCAAGTGGACCGGTAGGCAGTTGGAGATGGAGGTCTGGAGCTCAAGACAAATGTTTAGGCTGGAGATCAAGACTGGGGAGACCTCATCACCTTGTTGAAAGCCAGGGGCTCTTCCGAGAGCTTCCGACACTTAAAGACTGCAGAGTGGCCCTGTGTGCAGGTGGAGGAGGAGGTCGGTGTCAAATTGGCTAAGAGATCAAGGAAGATTTGGATGGACAGAGCTCTTGGATTTGGCTTCTAGGAGGTTATTAGTGGCCTTTAAAATTTTTCCTCAGAATATTACCTCCTAAGGCAGGCGTGCTAAGGCATCCTTCTGTCTTTCGGCCCTGCAGCCTCACGGTTAATATATTCTTCCCTCAAAATTAATTCAGAATTTACTTTTGTCTTAACTGTTTTTAAAAAATGTACTTATTTTGGGACACCTGGGTGGCTCAGTTGTTAGGCATCTCCCTTTGGCTCAGTTCATGATCCCGGGGTCCTGGGATCAAGCCCCGCATCAGGCTCCCTGCTCAGCGGGAAGCCTGCTTCTCCCTCTCCCACTCCCCCTGCTTGTGCTCCCTCTCTTGCTGTGTCTCTCTGTCAAATAAATAAATGAAATTAAAAAGAAAATAAAAATAAAGTACTTATTTTAATTGAAGTTTAGTTGACATACAGTATTGTATTAGTTTCAAGTGCACGGTATATTCAACAGTTACGGACATTACAACATGTTCACCATGAGAAGCATAGTCACCATTTGTCAACATACAGAGTTATTACAATATTATGTTTTAATTAATTTTTGAAGGCAGATGAAAGCAATTTGGGTCTGTGCTTTTATTTATTTTAAAAAAGATTTTATTTATTTATTTGACAGAGATCACAAGTAGGCGCCGAGAGGCAGGCAGAGAGAGGGGGGAAGCAGGCTCCCTGCCGGGCAGAGAGCTGGATGTGGGGCTTGATCCCAGAACCCTGAGATCATGACCTGAACCGAAGGCAGAGGATCAACCCACTGAGCCACCCAGGTGCCCGGGTCTGTGCTTTTAAATACATTTAGTATGTTGCCCATACTTCATAAAGTGAGTAGGTAAATATCAATAGAACAAGCATTTATTTTTTTATTTTTTTATTTTTTTTAAAGATTTTTATTTATTTATTTGAGAGAGAGACAGTGAGAGAGAGCATGAGCGAGGAGAAGGTCAGAGGGAGAAGCAGACTCCCCATGGAGCTGGGAGCCCGATGTGGGTCTCGATCCCAGGACTCCAGGATCATGACCTGAGCCGAAGGCAGTCGTCCAACCAACTGAGCCACCCAGGCGTCCCTAGAACAAGCATTTTAAGCTGAGTTAAGTGCGTCTGTAAAGTAGACATTTCCTTGTTCTAAAATACTGCAGTTACCTCAGTTTTAAACATGGATTGTTCCCTGGCTGATTGCATAACATGGAAGTTTTTGTCCCAGCTTCTCTGAAGCTCACTATACCACAACTAATAAAACGTGTAGTAGTGAAGTTAAGACTGAACCAGGTAAAATCGGTGCTGTAATCCCCCCATTCTACTGTGGGTGAAACTGAGGGCAGAGAGGGCAAGTTACTTAAGCCAGAGTCCAACAGCTGTGCTGTCAGGCCTCTAATTCAGGTATTTGTGCTCGCGCATTTCAAGCTGAACCACTTGCTGTCCGGAATCACAGTGACGCCAGGCTCCAGTTGCCTTCATCGGGGAAGTCCTTGGCCGGCTCTTCCGTGTCAGAAGCCCAGGTGATGCCGCGTGGCTGCGGTGACTCCGTGGGCTTGTGGTCTCACGTGGACTGTTCCAGGCACTGCCTTGTCACTGGACTTGTGTTCCCCACTGAGGCTGGCTTAGAGTAGGTGATCGGTAAAAGCTGATTGAGCCTTCATTTCTGTGGTGAATCCACAAGGGGGTGTTTTC